CTGGTCTCAGTTCTCTCTCCTCAAGGTCCAGCTCAGACTCAACTTTAAGAAGACTTTAAGAATGAATGTCGAAATAGCTCAAGACTCCAACAGCCAATAACACTTCAGAGTGGGCAGAATTCCCAACACCAGTGGCATGCAAAGGAGTCTGGACTTTACTTGGTAGGCAGAGAGCCACATAAAGTTTTGGATCAAAGGAATAAGACCAAAAGAATAGTTAGGTTGGCAATATAATGTAAGATAGATTGGAAGAACTGGAGTCAGGGAGGCTAGTCAGGAGGACGTTACAATAATCTAAGCAAGAAGGAAAGAGGACTTAAAAGAAATGAGTCTATTTCTAAAGGTAGAATCACTGGCACTGAGAAAGGTGTAGAGCGAAGAGAGTCCCTGTGGGGCAGTGGGCAGAGAAGACTTGAACTCAAGTGACCCTGCTACAAGCTCTCAGTGGTACAGGCAATTCTCAAAGCGCAGAAGTCACACAACAGTTATGGATCTGCATTAGGAGAGGTCATTTCCTCAGCAAGGACTTCCCTATACCAATGAAGTCACAGGTCCCCCCCCTCCAAGAAAACAAAGGCAAGAGAGGTTGTTATTAGGCTTAACCTGCACCTCTCACCTCACGCTAAATGGGTGACTAGCCACTCTGTCTCTATGCATGGCAGAATGCATACATACATTTGGCCTGATGAAGGACTCAGCCTGGGCACTTAATAGAGTGTACCTTCATCTTCACATTCTATCCCCATCCACCTTTAGGAAAGGTATTCCAAAGGCTCTCATGCAGAGTCTTCACATTTGACTGACCCTATGAGGTATAATGAGACCGTCTGGCAACGTGGTCCCAGAGACAAATACAGTGGTGCTGTCTGACTGAACAGGTGCCTCTTCCTGGGCTACCTCTCCCCACAGCCCGGCCAATGTGGGCTCATGCTGCTTCTTTCATCCAGAATGAAGGGGTTTTCCCATCCTTCAAGGTCCATGCTCCACCTACTCCATGAAGCAAGGCTGGGTGACTAGGGTACAATCCAGCCTTTGCTTAAAGACCTCCAGTGAGGGGGATAGCACTATCTCCCCACCCAAGGGAGCCCATGGGGCCAAACAAAGCAAATTTCTTTCATAACCCTCCAAATACCTGAAGTAGGCTGTCATCCTTCCCCTTCCCAAAAGCCTTCTTTTCTTTAGGCTAAGCATAGCTCATTCCTTCAACTGATTCTGATATATCATAGTCATCTTCAGTAGCCTCACAACCTTGGGCTCCCTCCTGCAGACACATTCTAGTTTACCAATGTCCTTTCTAAAATGGGGCATCCCAATACTCCTGATGTGGTCTGATTGCAGCAGAGTCCAGCAAAGCTATGCACTTTCCACAAGCCTGAGACCGTGTGGAAGTTCACTCACACCAAAGGATCTTTCCCATGCATCCCCACGCACTTACGTCGGTGTCCACCCACTGTCTGACGTCCATCGGCGCAGCCGTCATGTCATCGATTTTGTAAACAATGTTAGTCGGCGCCTTCTCTGCTTGCCGGATTATTCCCACAATAGTGACCTACGTAAAAAGGTAGACAATGATTTTCCTGAGTCCCAGGGTGAAACTTATGCCCTTTTAATCACAAACCATTATTCAGGGATTCTACCAAGATGTTGTTGCCATACCTGTGAAATCTCAATCTCCCCAATCTTAAATACTTCATCAATCAGGCTGGCAGAAAGGAGCTGTGATATGGTGCAAGGGACAATGTGCTGGGCTCGTGCTCTCTGTAAAGAAAACACACCGGTCAGTCTCCCTCATACAACCACAGGGATCTCAAAGAAAAACTCGATCAGCTGGATACTAAGGATCAGCAGTGAAAGACTGAAACAAAAACAAACAAAAACAAACAAAAAGACAGAGCAGACTGAAAGCTGGAGTTCTCCTCTGTCTATGAGAGAAACAACATGTGCGGAGTTGGATCCCACTCAGGACACTCTTGTGTTTGGTTTTCACCTCACATAGCCTCTGAGATCTTCATTACATCTGTTTTTAGCACAAGAAAACTAAGGTTCCATTAATTTACTCAGTGACCCTAGGCAAGCGTCATAATTTGGAGGTAAGGGGATGAAAAGAAAGAGTCCCAAATTTATTTCAGCCCACACAGAGAAATTTCTTGCAATATTGTTGTGTACAAGATTACAAAGGATGCACTAGTTTCTTATCATGAGGACAATGTACTGATCCCAAGCCACATTTAGGTAAGCACACATTCTTTAAGTATCCACTGCATAAAGCGTCTCAATTCTAGCTAAGACGACTCAAAAGGGCTTTGGGAATACCAAATACTTATTTTTTCCTAACTGAGCCAGGAGGTAGACATCAAATTAGACCAAGGTTTTACTGAATCTTGCCCCCCTCCCTGCTCCCTCTTGCTTCCAAGACCACGTCAATTTGGGGCCACACGGGCTAGGACTTACATTTAGAAAACCAAACCCCTCCATATCCCAAGGAGGCAACAGAGCGGAAGTGACATTCTACCAGAATTAAAGAATTCCATTCTAATGGAAGGACTGACCCTTGTCAATACTGACACTCCCCAAGAAAACAGATTCAGAAGGAAGCTATGGCTAAATAGGAGGCTGGCTCAAGGGTTTTCCTAAAGGAAAGAACCAACAGAATTGGCTTTATTGTGCGCCCAACAAGAAACGTTTCAAGGAACACATGATGTTACCTTGCTGTGCTTTCTGTGATGAGCTTAAGCAAAAAGACCCTTGTGAAGGGAACTGTAGCTTATGGGCCAACATTTACTGCAGAGAACGAAGAAGTAGAAAATCCACATAAAGAATCTGACAAGCACCACCAAACCAAGTTTATGTGTATTTTGATAACTGGCATCTTTAATATGAAGTGGGGCCCGGAGGAGGTTGGAAAATGTAGTTCAGGTTTAAGACACAAAAGAAGCCAAAAGCTTGTAAGCTACTCAGAAGCCTGTCAACTGGAAGTCATGAAAACTTTTTCCAAGAAGACACTTAAAGGTACGGGATCTAATGAGTAAATAATATGACAAAAAAATAAAACTATCTTTACAAGAAACTGAATACTGAAATAGGGAATACATCAGAATCAGCCGTCTATGTGCAGTCTAATCAGCAGCTAGTTTTAGAAAAGGTCAAAATCTACAATCCATCCCTTCCAAAGCACGAAAGTCTCAAAGGAAGATGGAGCCTTTGAATGTGGGGAACAGCAACTTACTCAAGGAAAGATTCACTAGCTGTTTTGTTAATTTTAAAAATGAAACCATATTCCTGGAGAGTCCTCAGAAGTAGAGGTAGAAGACAAGAGAGAGGTATGGGACCTATTTTTCATCCTGAGACAGTACTTCCTCCTTGCACCACTGTGAGAAGGCTAGATTGCAGAGATGACTCCATGGGAGCTGTGGCTACCGTTGAGGAGTGATCCAATTTATGTGAGACAGGCCCCACCCCATCACTAGGTTCCCCTTTCCCTTCTGTGGCTCTAAGCAAAAAGGGAAGGCTCTGATACTTCCAGTATCTAATCAGGAAGCCCTTTCCTACTCCCTAAAGTCAATCATTGGCTATTTTATTTACAGTCTGTGCTGATCGACTGAATATTCTGTTCATTCCTCCCTTTCTGTCCTTATTGATTCTCTATGATACATAAAATTAATTTGAGCTAAAAAATTAAGAAAAATAGAAATAAAACCATAGAAACAAATACAAATTAAAGGAGGACTTGACAAACATTTATTAAGCTTATCTCCACATCCTCTCCTGCCCAGCCCATCCCCTAGACATCCCCACATTACCAAGTCAATTCTGTTTATACTTAAATATCACAAATGGGTATTCATTTCTAAGCAGGGAGTCACTTTAGGAAGAAGTAAATAAAACAGTGCCAACTGTTTATCTTTATTTTCAACTTACTGATTTCCTTTCAGCCTGAGAAGCAGTAGGAGTGCCAAACCCCCCTGGGGGCTGTGTGTAGCCACCACTTACGTAGGAAGTGTTCCCATAGCCTCCATCAAATCCACCTGGCATTAACAGCAGACCAAAGACATCAGAATCACTTTTCCTCGCTGGAGTCAAGAATCCTCCATCCCATAGTGGACACCCGGCCCATCTTCCCCCACCCCACATCAGGGCCAGGCATCTCTACCCACCTGATCTCCTTCCTGTGTCCGTCCCCCGCCTTCATGATCCCCCACCCCCAGATTAGGGCCAAGCCTCTCACCCCACCCACCCCTTCCTGTGTCTGTCCCCTCCTTCATGATCTCCCACCCCCAGATTAGGACCGGACATCTCTCCCCACCTGGTCTCCTTCCTGTGTCCGTCCCCCGCCTTCATTATCCCCCAGCCTCAGATTAGGGCCAAGGCTCTCTCCCCACCTGGTCCCCTGCTTAGCACCCCATCTCCAGACCCCTTTAGAACCTCTATCCCCAGCTGCCCCCGCCTATTATCCCCAGACCGCTGCCAAGCCTCTCTACCCTGAGAGCCCCCCACTTCAGCACCCCTATCCTCGGAACCTAGACGAGCCTCCCACTCCACCTCTTTGTACATTTCCCTTTCCCCTTCTGTGCCCCCTCCCTTAAAGCCTCTCGCCCAGCTCCTCCATTACTGTTCCACATGGTGGCCACAGCGCCCCGAGGGCTGTAGCGGGGCCGCGTCTGCAAAGTCCGCTGGGAGCCCGAGGAATCCCGCAGTTTCTCCACCTAGAAGAAACCTGACTTCGCGCCACAAACACTATCCCGCGAACGGCCTTACTAATCAACTTGCTGGCTGCTTTCCTTTCCGCCTCTTTCAGCCAATCAACGCTGACGATACTCCAGGTTTACCCAATGGGCTTGGACAATGCTAGTGAGGCGTGCGCACACTTTGGTCCCGCGAGAGAAACGTGAAGTCTTCGCGGCCATATTTAGTACGGGCAAGGAACCAGTTCGAGCTACAGGTGCTAGAAACCCAGGCTAGAGAAACATCCCTGGAAAGCGACCAATGAAAAAATAGGATCTTACCCTCGTGTGGTCCCGCCCCTCAGAGATGACGTAACCTGCCCCTCTAGGAACCTCTTTCTCAGGTCTAAGAGTCTCGCAGCTGACTGACAAGGGCGCAAGCGCAGACCACTCAGTCCAGTCAGGACTGGGCGGCCAGGATTGATCAGTGTCATCTGGCCTCGGGCGCTGCAAGTTCGGATCACCTGCAACCAGGAGGTGTTTCGAGGTAACTGAGTCCAACACTGACTCCTCCCACCCTTGTTTTACAATGGAGGAAACTGAATCCTAGAGAGGGGGCGTGACCAGCCCACGGTCCCACTGGGAGCAGCCGGGCCCGGCCTGAGCCTCTCCACGATGGGGCTGGTGTCTGAGCAGCGCCCTGTCAGATTGCACCCTCTGCAGGGGTTGTTATCGCCGTTTTGCATATGAGGAAACTGAGTCTCACGTGCGGGGGCGGGGCAAAGCCTGGGTTTGGCATCCAGGCCAACCCCCAACCTCAGCCGAGCTCCTTCACTCCCCGGGGTCAGGCTCAGACAGGCAGCCAGTGTTAATTAAAATGCACTTAATTACCGCCACCTACGTGCCAGGTGCTGAGGTTCCAACCGCAACATCAAAGAACAAGCACTAATTAAACGCCTCCTACATACCTGGCGCTGTACTAAGCAACCGAGACCCAAAGAAACAACAAAGAAGGTCCCTGCCCTCAAGGAGCTCACAGTGGAATAGGGGAGACAACGTGTAAACAGCTATGTACGAACAGAATGTTTGCAGGGTAGATGAAGGCACTTGCATTAAGAGGCACTGGAAAAGGGTTCTTGTAGAAGGTAGGATCTTAGCTGGGACTTGAAGGGAGAGCATTCCGGGCATGGAGTTGTCAACCATTTGGTTTGGTCCAAAGAAACAATCAGTTTTCCCCTTAACCGAAGGTTTGCACTAAGAACAAACAGAATGGGGTTCACCTTTCCAAAGGTTTGACCAAGGAACAAACAATCAGGCTGTACATGTGCTATAATGTGCTTATTTATTCTCATTAAGGCAAAGAATCATGTATGCATGGGAGTCAGAAAATAATTCTGAACTCAGAATAAACAAGCTGAAGGAGCCCCTTTATACATTTAGAGCAATCTCAACTCAGGGTGCCTGTGTCAACCAAAATTATAGTCTCCATGTGTTAACCATAACATCATGAGAAAGGAATTTCTTAATAGGATAGATTGTATATACAGTAAGATAAAAGAAGTGTGAAAGTATCAATTGAAATTGTAGATCCAGATGTTTGTGTTACTTTTATCATTAACATGACTATATGTGTATGTGTGTGTGTATCCATATATATCATAACATAACATGTGTCCATAAAATAGCAAGATAAAAAAAGTCCCATTATTCAAGCTAGTGTCCCGTTCAAGGCGCTTTGTCCTTGGTAGTCATAAACAGCAGAATGTTCTTGGTCAGCTTCATCTGGCGCTGTAGTTGCTGACATAGGAAGGGGCATTTTGGGCTCACTCAGAGAGCAAAGCAAAGCATGTCTGTTATGCCAGAGCACACAAGGCAGTATGGTAGGTTAAACTAAGAGTGGGCCAAAAAAAAATGTCTTTCTCCTGATTGGCCAATCCAGGTTTTAGGCCTTTCTTAGGTGGTGGGGAGCTCAAGAGTGGTTCACAGAGTACAATCAAAAGGCATGGAGTGAAAAACTAAACTTCCTGCCCCAAAGGAGCTTATGTTCTATCGAGGGCCAACAATATTTAAGTAGAACAAAATACAAAGTAAACTCAAGATAATTTAGGGGGAGATCAAGAAGGTCCTTGTGTAGGAGATAGCTCTTGAGCAAAGCTTGGAGGGAGGTATGGCCCAGGAACACTGGGCAGAGGCTGGGCAAAGGCATAAAAATAGAAAGCACTGTGAGTACATTTTAGCTGGAAGGTACAGTGTGTGAAGGGGAATAATATATATGAAGTCTGGAATGGTAGAGTAGAGCCAAACTGTGAAAGCTTTAAATGCAGTTTCAATCCATTAACTGATAAGGAAAGTTCACAGAATCTCAGGAGTTAGAAAAGATCTTAGATCTAGTCCAACCCATGATTGAACAGAAATCCTCTTGAGCAATGGAACTCTAGTGTGGGAGAGCTCATTGCTTTATGAGGTAACCTTTCACTTTTGTTGGCAATTATATTAAGTCTCAGTATGCCTTTCTGCAACTTGTGTTGGTTGTTAGCATTCTGAAACTAAATAGAATAAGACTAATCACATATGACAGATATTGAGAAAGATGCCTAAAGCGCTTACTATGTGACAAGCTCTATGCTGATCCCTGCTAAGGGCTGTAAATGCACGGAGAAGCAAAAAGACAGTCCCTACCCTTACATGCTAATGGGGGACGATAAAACATAAAAGGGATGAAAGGCGAGTGGATGTGTATCCATTCTATTTGGAGTGGAGGAGGGGAGGAAGAAGATGTGAGTCAGGAGCAGGAGGCAAGTTTGAAGTGCCTATAGCAGGCCGATTTCCTGAAGTGGAGGCTCAGAGCAGTAACCAGTCACTTGGAATCTGTTATTATCCCTGACTTAAACCTTTTCTCCAAGATTCAGCATCAGTAGTTCCTTCCATCTTCCTATATAGCATGGACTTCAGCCCCTTCACCTTCCTGAAAGTTTTAGCTTGTCAATATCTTTGCTAAAATGTGGTACCCACAACCAAGATTAGGAGGGAAGCAGAAAACTGGGAAAGAATTTTTACAGCCAGTATCTCTGATAAAGGCCTTATTTCTAAAATATATAGAGAACTAAGTCAAATTTATAAGAATACAAGTCATTCCCCAGTTGATAAATGGTCAAAGGATATAAACAGGCAGTTTTCAGATGAAGAAATTAAAGCTATTTATAGTCATAAAAAAATGCTCTAATTCACTATTGATTAGAGTAATGCAAATCAAAATGACTCTGAGATACCACATCACACCTATCAGATTGGTTAACATGACAAAACAGGAAAATGATAAATGTTGGAGAAGATGTGGTAAAATTGGAACACTAATACATTGTTGGTGAAGTTGTAAAATGATCCAAACATTTTGGAGAGCAATTTGGAACTATGCCCAAAGGGCTATAAAAATGTGCATACCCTTTGACCCAGCAATAGCACTTCTAGGCCTGTGTCCCGGAGAGATCATAAAAATCGGAAAAGGACCCACAAGTACAAAAATATTTATAGCAGCTCTATATGTGGTAGCAAAGAATTGGAAATTGAGGGGATGCCCATCAATTGGGGAATGGCTGAATAAGTTGTGGTATATGAACATAATGGAATACTATTGTGCTGTAAGAAATGATGAGCAGGCAGTCTTCAGAAAAACCTGAAAAGACTTGCATGAACTAATACTGAGTGAAGTGAGCAGAACCAGGAGAACACTGTACACAGTAACAGCCACACTGTGTGATGACTAACTTTGATAGACTTAGCTGTTCTCAGCAATGCAAGGATCTAAGACATCTACAAAAGGCTCATGATGGAAAATGCTATCCATATCCAGAGAAAAAACTATGGAGAATGAATGCAAATCGAAATGTACTATTTGCATTTTTTTTTCTTTCTACTGTTTTGTTTCCTCTTTCTTGTGGTTTCTCCCATTGGTTCTAATTCTTCTTCACAACATGATTAATATGAAAATATGTTTAACAGGAATGTATATGTAAAGCCTATATCAGATTGCACGCCATCTTGGGGAGGGAGGTGAAGAGGGAGAGGGAGAAAATTTAAAACTCAAAAGCTTATAGAAGTGAATATTGAAAACTAAAAAGAAATTAATTAATTTTTTTAAATGTGGTACCCATGGCCTCAGACTCTTGACACTTTCTAGCTGTGTGACCTTGGGCAAGTCACTTAATCCCGATTGCCTCACACACACAAAAAAAAAGTGGTACCCAGAACTGAATTTAATATTCTAGATCAGGGATTATCAACCAGAGGTCCATATAATCTCACTTCTAAATCCTTCAAACTGATTTCTCATCCTACCACTCTTCAGAAATCTTTCTCTCTGGTGATACCAGACTCTGACAGCAAATCTGATGTTTTCTCATATCCTTCTTGACTCCTGAAACTTTTTGACCACCCTCTCCTCCCTTGGCTCTCATGGCACTATTCTTTCATATCTGTCTACTTCTCATATTCCTTTGTTAGATCATCATTTATCTCTTCCTTTCTTAGTATAGGTGGCGTCTCATATATTTTCTTTCTTGAAGAACCTATTTTCGTATGATCTCTAATCAGATGATTCCTAAATCTAATATCCAGTTTCAGTCTTTCTTCTGAGACAGCCATGCATTGCCATCTGCCTGCTAGATAGTATCTCATAAGTGTCCATAGGCATCTTAAACTCATATGTCCAAAACTTAATTCATAATTTCCCCCCTACCCCATGCCTAAACTTATCCCTTCTCTGGACTTTCCTGTCTTTCTTGAGGGAACTGCCATTTTTCCTCTCACCCATGATCGTAACTTCAGAGTCATTTTTTTCCCTTGGCTAGGCAGTGGGGTTAAGTGACTTGCCCAGGGTCACACAGCTAGTAAGTGTCAAGTGTCTGAGGCAAGATTTGAACTCAGGTCCTCCTGACTCCAAGGCTGACGCTCTATCCACCTAGCTGCCCTTTTTTTTCAGTCATTCTTTACTTACCCCACATCCAGTGTCCCAATAGAAATCTTCAATTAAGAGAAACTGAGGTGCAGAGTTCCAAGCATGATCAATTTATTAGCAAAGCTAGCACTTGCTAATGAATGGGATCCATGGCTCCTCAGTAGCCAAAAACTGACAGGCAGAGTAGCTCTTCTATAATATTGAAAATGCAGAAGTGGTATAAACATTACGTAGGGTGCAATAAATAGACCATAATGCAAATTACATCAGAAGCAGAGAGTAGGGGTGGAGCTTGGGTTACAATTAGTCTGAGTCAAAGACAGTAATTTCCATAACTCTGGCAGTAGGGTAAACAAAGCCTCTGGAAAACCACATAGTCAGCAAAGTTTGTGACTTAGAATTTTTGTGGTTGGACTTCAGCCCATAAGAATAGGGAAGTTAAACTCTTACAAATTTTACTAAGAGGAGCTAGTTTAAATCTATCTAACAAGGCCTATCCAATCAACTCTGATTTTGATTCACAAATATTGATTCTGATTAGAGAGATTGATTAGATACAAGTCTCAATGAATATTTAATCATGGAATATCAAT